AAAAGGAAAATCCATAATATATAGCAGAGAACTGCTGCTCTGGCCAACTGCTAACCACACTTGGATGAAATACTGAGCTGTAAAACATGTTTAAAGTGGAAGAACTGCACTCTGAAAAAGCATGCATACCTCTTAAATTAGTTTATTACAGCTTACTTTCAGCAGTTTCTATACTTATTAACTAGAGCTGATTTTCAGCCTCAGCTTTGTTTTGGCAGCAGAATTCTTCCCTTTGTATCATGTTCTTTCTTTTAAAGCTGGGCAGACAGCAAAAGCTTAAAGTTGTATTATAAAGGAACAGCTTCAGTTTCTTTTACAATGCCACTTTTCTGAGCGAAGGTTACACTGAGCTGCTTTATGTGCCTAAACTATGTGCTTAGGACACTGTAAATGTATTGCATTGTGCTCATCTTTTCTAGAATAGAAAGTAAATGTGGAACACTAATGATATCCCCCCTCATACAGCAGCTAACAGTGTGTAGTATCACACCTGTTGTGCCCTGGCCAGAACGTTAAGGCTGCTGTACTAATTCCTCTGGTTGCCCTGTTAGGGAAGCTGGTCCTCCCATTTGGTACTAAAGGACCAGAGTTCTATTTCTAAAGCTGTACAGAGTCTGTTAATGACTGTGGAGGCTGGGTTGGACCATAGATCATTGCAAGTGCAACACACATTACATGAAATGTTTTATTAAATGGAAGCTATTCAAGAACACTGACTGACTGAACATCACTGAAAGCTTTTTGTAATATGAATGTACAAAGTTTCCTGAAAGTATTTAGTATGAGTGAATAGGTTTGGCCAATGAGTTATGACATCAAATCAGATGCTCAACTACTTTTCCATTAATACAGTATCATTTATAAAACCTTAGAAGCCAGAATTATTAAAAAAAAATCTCACATTTGACTTTTAAAACAAAATTTAAAGGCAAAATTTTCAAACTTGGGTGTCTATACTTAGGTGAAGACTGTCAAAAGTCATTAGTGATTTTTGGGTTTTTAACTTCATAGTTTTCATTAAGTGTTGAGAACCTCCCCTCTGAAATTCAGGTCCTTCAAAGTGCCTTGAGTTGGGCTATTCAAAATAAACTAGTCACTTTTAAAAATCTAGGCACCCTACATAAAAGTGGCTCTGCACCCAGAACTCCCTCTGAAGTCAATATGTTGGGGGTACTCAGCCCTCTTTAAAAAAACAACAACAACACAGGTGACTTAAGTATGTCAAATTTAGACATCATGCTTTTAAAGTTTTGTTTTAAATGAGCAAATAGCAGTATTTTTCACATTTCTAGAAGCAGTGAGATTTATGCAGCCCTTTGTTTTCACCAGCATAATTGATTAACCCATTTCTGGGACTGGAGTTGGGTTTTGTTGAGGGTGGCAGCCTCAGACCCAAAAGAGGAAAATCTTTTCTTTGGAAGTTTTATTTTTAAACATCTTAAAATTCTGAGAGCATGGCCTATGACATCTGGTCTGACAGTGACGGTCATAAGTGGTAATAACTGATGTCCCCCGACTCCTATTCTCACTCTTACAGTAGGG